GATGGGCCTTATTAGAACTCTCAGCATGTCTTACACTGCAATTTTCCCATAGAAATGTGTATCAAGATGGTAGCATCCTTGTCCGTTGGAAAGCAGTGCACCTACCTGCTTTAAATTTGCTTTAAATTCAGCTTGATTTCTCCAGAGAAGTGATCTCCTTCCTCTGTGCTGCCCCAACAGACAGAAAACCTTGAGTGACTCAGAAGACCAAGGACAAGAATAATTACATAATTTGAGCTGGATTTTTTTTTGAGGAGAATTCTTGTCAAGTAACAGCACATTGTCTGAGAGCAAAGGCTTAAAGTCGTGATTCTTGGAGTCTCTTTTTCCCAGTGAAAATATTTAATTATTTTATTTCTGATCCCACACAAATAAGTTTCTCTGCTGAAGTCAGGCCTCACTTACAATTTTCTCAGAGAGCTGGGGTTTATAGAATCTCTTAGGTTTAGGAGTAGGAGCACTTTGAAAATTCTCAAAAGCATAAAAACTATTTTTGTGGGGGGAGGGGTCATTAGGAAAATTTATGTTCCCATCACCAATGGGTATATTTAATTACTTCTCCACTATAGGCCACAGAGCTGATTATTAAACGTCTATGCTTAACACAATTGTTAGGTGAGGTAGAATTTGGAAATAAGAGCTGGAATTTTATATATCTTTAAAAATAATTATAATTTCTGGCCTTCATGTATATACATGCATGTGCGCACATGTGCACACATGCACACACACGCACACACACACACGAAATATAAAAGCACCAAAACCATGAAGGTTAACATAGTGGTTGTAGAGGTCCCATGGCTCAGTCACCCTGGGTTTTCAATCTATATAAAATTCCAATTCTGTCCCAGTTATAGCCTTATAAACTAATAGGTAAAAATAGTAAGTTTGTAATAGATAAAACTAAAATAGATACCAACTTGTATGCTACTCAGAATGTTCAAAACTGAAATATTTGACAAGGTTTTAGAGGTAGAGAGAGAACCCAAACAAATAACATTAGTGAAGAGTGAGGGCGTGGGGGAAGACATCACAACAGACTCTGGGGGAATTCTGAGAATCATAAGGACACAATTTTAAAATATGTACCATACCAAGCTGAAAACTATAAAAGAAATGGATAAGTATTGACATATATATGGTCTACCAAGGGTAAATCGAGATGAGATTATTTAAATAAACTCATAATGTCCAATGAGAGAGAAATGGTACCTAAAAAATACTCCAGCTGAAACAAATCAGATATATTCAGTGAAGAATTCTACCAAACTATCTAAGAACTAATACCAATACTTCTCAAAGTACTCTATAAAATAGAAAATGAAGGAATATTTTAAGTTCTTTTTATAAAGCCAGTACTACCCTGATACTAAAACCAGACAGAAAACCAACACAAAAAGATAATTATAGGGCAATAGCTCTGATAAAATGAACAAAAAATAATTCTCAGTAAAATACTTGCAAACAGAATCTAAGAACACATTTAAAGACCATCCACCATGACCCGCTTGGCTCCATGTCAGAGATGCAGAGATGGTTCAACATAAATAAAACAATAGACCGTACAACCATCTCACTGAATGCAGAAAAGGCTTCCTGATAAGAATCCAACATCCCTTCTTAATAAAAGATCTAAACAATCTAGGAATACAGAGGCCAATCTCAGCATAATAAAGGCAATATATGGCAATCCCGTAGCCAATACCTTGCTAAATGCAAGGGGGAAATGCAGACAATTTCCACTGGAATCTACCAGGTAAGGACACCAACTCTCCTCACTCCTATTCAATATAACACTTGAAATCGTAGGCCAGCCACACAGAGGCACATGCTCTCAAACCCAACATTTGGGGGTGCAGAGGCAGAGGCAGAGACAGTCAGATCAGATTATTAATATTATACAGCCCCCTAGAAAGGGGCTGGAGGATGCAGTTCAGTTGGTAGAGTACTTCCCCTGGCACTCAGTCCTCAGTACTGCATATACCAGGCATGGTGTGCTCTCCAGTAATCCTAGCACTCAAGATTGGAGGCAAGAAGACTGAGAAGCACAAGTCCAAGGTCACCCCCCACCACATAGCAAATTTAAGGCTACCCTGAACTACATGGATCTTATCTCAAAAAGAGGAGGGAGAATCATCATTGTCCTCAAGTTGGGGTCTGTAAGATTAAAAACAAATAACCTGTTTCTACAGGAGGGCTCCTGATACTTACATTAGAGGTATTTTCTCCATGTCGTCTTTGAAATAATATCATGCACTGAGCATAAGGCTCAATATTTTCTCACTGTCCAGTGATAAGTTCAACAAGCCCCTGGGAAGAAGGCTGGCTGGGGACTGCTGCCTCCAAAGAACTGAGCAGCCACACCCTACAGAGTGCAAGGGCCGGTTGCTCATCCCACATCTCGAGAAATTAGAGAGATGCTTCCAATTTGCATTTCAAAATGAGAAATACGTTCCAAGTGCGTGTAACCAAGAAGTGATTTGAGTACATTAGCATAGAAATTATATTTTTATGTTTCTTGTCATCTGTTTGTTTTCCGTTTTTAAAAGACTTATGAAGAATCCGATAGCAGGAACAAAATCTGGTTATCGTCTGAGAATTTCAAGCTATCTTCTAATAGACTATCAATACCAGGTTGTGGAAGAACATAGTATGAAAACAATGGGAAGTGGTTAGGTACTTAACCCTTCTCTTTTCTAACTTTAAAGGTTACTTAAAATTATGGTTCCTGGGGAGATGGCTCACTGTATAAAGTGCCTGCTGGGCCAGTGTGAGGATCTGATTTCTGATCCCCAGCACCTACATAAATGGCAGATGAGTACGGCAGCTCTGCTCTCACAACAACAATCAGAAGGTGGGGCAGGGTTCCAGGATGGAGAAAGCTAGTTAGATAGAGTATCCATTTCAGTGAGTTCTAGATTCCTTTGAAAAACCCTGCCTCAATAAATAAGCTTGAGATAAATCAAGGAAGACCTTCAGTGTCAGCCTCAGATGTCTGCACGTAGTTCCATACATGAACATCCCCACCACAGATGCCCATGTATGTAGACATGGGTACACATACATCTACATGCAAAAAAAAAACAAAATTATGCTTTCAAAACTTTAGAGCATTGTCTTGAAGAGGAGTTTTACACGTGGTGCAATGTCTACCTTAGACGACCCAGCTCAGCCCATTGAAAAGAATCAAAGTAGCCATGCATTTCAGTTGCTTAAACATACAAAGATCTCAAGATGCTTCTCATTCAGTAATACAAAAAAAATTAAGAAATGTCACACAGTCACATTTCTTCTCGGTCTTCCATTTTTGAATGGAATCTTTACTGGAGCTGGAGAACTGGGACACAGACATTGGTGCAGGGAGAAGCCCAGTGGATCCCACAGGGATCTACAGAGCTTTGGCCCTGAGTGATACAAGCACCCTGTGACCCTGTCCTTCTTCTGTCCCATCCAGCAAGCACCTGTCCTCCTGTTGGTGACTAAATAGCAATGAGTTCCAATCTGGATACCCACTTCTCCCCTGCCACCTATCAGAGGGTCCTGCAGGGCACACAGTGCCTCTGCACTTGCCCTAGATCCAGTCCCTCTAACAAGATTTCCATGGCTTGGTCTCCTGAGAGTCTAATCTCTTCCTTCCTCTGGCCCCTAGCCTTATCCTAGTTAGTTCAGGGTCTGACCTGTGTGGGGTCACACTGTAACAAATTGCTGTGACCACCACATCACTCTGCTATAGGGGTTTTGAGGGGCAGTTCTTTTGGCTCTGACATGGGCCAGAAAGCCTTGAGAGCACTTCCCAGAGATAGACAGAAGCCTGCAGCTATTACTGTTTTCCTCTTGAGTTTGTGTTGGCCTTTCCCAACCCAAGAAATCAGATAGAGTCCACTGTTCTTTGTACTTATTAACCAGATTTAGACTCATCCTGGGCATCATTTAAGCTGCCAGTAGAAACTATGTTGACTTTTATAAAATATAGTATAGTATCAATGGTTCCTATATTCAATTCTGTTTTACATTACGTCTGTTACCTGGAGAGGAATCAAGTACCCCGGAGCTAGTGACATGACTTTAGTGTAAGGAACATTCGTTCAGAGTGCCCTGCTGCCATAATGGGTGAGCATGGTGACCTTATGACTCTTGGGTGAACCAAAACTCACAGTTCACATTAAACTCATGGTTTGTTTTAAACACACACACACACACACACACAAATAAAACCTTCATAGTAAACTGTCCATCACTGCGCAGGCATAGTACTGAAGCAGGAGGATCATAAATGTGAGGCTAGCCTGGGCTACCTGAAACCCTATGATAGATTTCCTTTTTACATTAATGAGCCAATTTAATCCATCTACTTGGCGTGTTTCTTTTTATTTTTATTATATTTTTATTTCATGTATATGAGTGTTTTGCCTCATATGAACCATGTGTTTCCGGTGCCCAAGGAGGCCACGAGAGGGTATTGAATTCCCTTGGGCTAGAACTACAGATGGTTGTGAATCACAGTTTTAATGCTGAAAGTCAAACCTGGGGTCCTCTGCAAGAACAGCAAGTGCTCTTAGTCCCTGAGCCATCTCTCCAGCCCTCCATTCTGATCTCACCTCACCTTGAAAATCCAAAAGACAGCTGTTAAGACAGACCTGAGACTATCCATATCCTCCATTGCTGGGGTGGTTGCTTAGCTCTCAAAGGTACTGAACACCAAGAACCTTCCTCTTGTTTTGTGATTGATGACTGCCATTGAAGTCTGACTAACAGTTTTCATTCTGGTGAGCTTTGTGAATAGTAAAGAGGTTCTGGAGCTTGCGTGACTGGTGAGAGCTAAGTCTCCCTGCCTTGCATCGTGTTGAACCATGGATACACATGACAGTATAAAGCTTGGCCTTCCACACCAAAAGAATCCCTGCCTTCCTCGCAACTTCTGCCTTGCCATTTCTTTTTGCTTCCTACTTTGTAACATATCCTGACCTGTGTTTTCTTGTCACTCTTGCCAACCTTAGGAGTTCTTTGACCATGTGAAGAAGCTGTGGGACGATGAGGGAGTGAAGGCTTGCTTTGAGAGATCCAACGAGTACCAGCTGATCGACTGTGCACAATAGTAAGTTGCTTCCCAGGTCAGGCCTCTCTTGGCTGTGCCCACCTCATAGCTCTGAGGTTTCCTAAAAGCAGGAATCAAAAGTAGCTTTGACTACAGAAGTTAGTTCTAAAGGAGGTTTTGGCAACATTGTTTTGCTAAAGGTATATCTAGTAACATTGTTTCACTGAAGGAACTGTGTTTGGTAACATTGTTTCACTGAAGGAGCTGTGTTTGGTAACATTGTTTCACT